TTACAGTGAGGACCATTACTTTCTAAATTAGTTTTTGGCATAGCCAAATAACGAGTATTTATTTCTGCCTACACCAATATAGGCCAAGACAGTTTTCTTTGTGTCTTTCTTTGAAGGCAGTTACTGACATGCAAAGATGTTACTGCAGACCAAAAGATCTAAAGCTGCAGGTCATGGGAGGATATTAAATGATAAGCAAATTCACATTTCTGAAGTAATTTTACCAATTTATTAGCAATGCCAGCTCCCGTTCCACAGTAGGGGAGGTAATAACGAAGACTTGTTAAAGGGCAATGTGATATCTTTTATGTAATGTCTTTTTTAATTTGTGATGAAGTCATTAAAGCAGCACTGTATCTTCTTGAAGCTTCAAACAATAGTCGGCATTAAATCTCCTGTGCAAAATTAAGGACAGTAGTTCACTGGGAAAAATAAGCATCTGTTCTTGCTAATGCTAATGGCCTTCTAAAAATCATTAAACTACTCTAAATTGGTGATGATAAAACAAAACAAAACTGTTTTAACTTTTTCCAAAGCAAAGAGAAAATCCATTTTCCTTGTAAATACTTTGTTCCGAATTTGCTCAGTAACCTGATAACCTGTACCTCATAAGACATTTCTCTCTTATGAAGTTGCCTAAATCTCATTCACCCACAATTGTTTGACTTCTATTTATTATCTTTTAAATCTGCATTAGTAAAAGCTTCTCTTTACTTCATTTACACAGTCTGTAGACCCTGAGTCACGACCATCTCTCTCTAGTCACAGGCTTGAAGGAACTGGTGCTTCAGGCATAGCTGAAATACAGGTTTTAGCTCCCCAGTTTCTTACAGCTTAACAAGAAACTTGTCTATTCTGCCGTGGAACCAGCTCACGTAGCTTTATTCTAAGCTTACCCTGAAATCTCAGTTGGCCTCTACTTTCTTCTCTGTTGTGTCCCTTCTGCTGTGTTGCCTTTTAAATACAAATTTAATTGCTCTACATACGTAACATTTCTGCTGTATAAGAATACTTTCTTAACATCTCTGTGCAGAGATGTCAGCTCAGGTGTGGATATAGAACACCCTAACACAATGCAAGAAACAGACATATCATAAAAAAAAGTAAAATCAAAGATCTCATAGCAAGACGGACAGAGATCTTGGAGTTCGATGCACAGACGGTAAAGAACTACCTCGTACTTAACCTACCCTGCAAAAACATCAAGGAGTCCAAAATGAAAACAATGGATTGACTCCAAACACGTCAGAAAATGCTCAGTCTCAGGTTTAATTAATTGCTCTGTTCTGGTTCACAACTGGGATCTCTGTAACCACCACACGCTGTCAAGGGACAATATCAGGTGAATACCAAGTTACCCAGAGCAGAAGATGGAAGACAAATTTCTAATGGAAGTGCATGTGGACAAGTGGTGCCTCCTTCACCATAGCCATAACTGGGGCCTGTTAAGCCTAAGAAGACTGAGAGGTATCTGATAAATGTTTATAAATACCTCAAGGGAGGTGGGTAGCAAATGGATGAGGCCAGGCTCTTCTTGGTGGTGTGTAGTGACAGGACAAGGAATAATGGCCTAAAACTTACACAGGAAGTTCTGTAGTAGCATGCAGAAGAACTTTATGGTAAAGGTGACAGCACACTGGAACAAGTTGCCCAGAAAAGCTGCGGAGTCTCCTATGGAGATATTTAAGATCCATCTGGACATCTACCTGTGCGACCTACTGTAGGGCACCTGCTTTAGCAGGGGGGTTGGACTCGATGATCTCTGTGATTCTCTGATTTGACCCAAATAGGAAGTATGAGCCAACTTCAGGTTCATACCAGTTTTTGTCTGTATAAGGAATGTTTTTTTCCCTTCTGTCATGCTTCTGCTTTGCTAGAGTGGGAGTAAAAGGAAATGGAATGTTACTGCTATTTGAGCTTTTTTTTCCTACCTTGTCACATTACTGCAGTGACCACTATATACTTCAGCTATGTTGCTACACAGCAGTATTTTTTACTGCTTCTGTCAATAGGTTGGGAGATTACTACTTCACAAACATTGAGGACAAGCATGATTTTTTTTAAAACAGGCTTTTAAGTCCAATGTTAAACACATATTGTTTAATCATTACACACATCAAATTACAAAATAAACTGAAACTTTGGAGTGCACCCTCAAATGCTATGATTATGTCATCTCCTGAAGTCATCTGCCTAGCTGGCATTTTACATTTACACTTGCAATTCCCACTTGAAGCAGTGATGAAGGCATTTAGCTTACTCTCCTTGTGGCCTTGGAGATGTACCCAAAAACACAGGGGCATCTTCTGGCTCCTGCTCTTTGCTAGTAATTCAGCACTGGCACTGAATGACTCTTGAGAAAATCCCAGTACCTTTCCTTCGCCTGCATAGTGCACTGCACTCCACAGGAGCACGAAGGCAACAGGGCGTGCTGGCACAGAAGCAGAACTTTACACAGTTCCCACCTGCCATCATTCCAAATACGTCCACTTGCATCCATGCAACAGCTGCCCAGTATGCAATTGAACTCTCCTCTACCAGTTGCTCTCTCACCAGGCAAACATTTCAAAAGCCAGGACAGCAGAGGACTGGCTGGGGTCTCAAACAGCACTGCATGCATGGCCAACTAATATCCATACCTATAGAAAAGCCCTTTCTGTGAATCCGACCATGGAGGTTAAGAACCAGAAGCGACAGATAACCAAGGCATAACTAATACAAAAACACCTTTTCTGGCTGATGGATTCATAAGCCCTCCAAGGAAGTTTCCAGTATGCCAGATAAGAAACAGTCATGTATCCTTGGAAACACAATTAATTTAATGTTAATTTCAACCTATAACCAATAATGAAATAACCAAGCAGTAACAGCAAAAATCCAGCTGTCTTCCTAGACAGGTTTTGGAGCAGTTTGCACCCAAGATGATGAAGCTTTGGCTTCTACCTTTAAGAAGACTCAAAAATGCTATCCTGATTTGCCAAGTTTTCAAAGTAGAAATGCCTCCCTGCACTCCACCACACTGCAATGAGGTGCAACTGCATGAACTTCAGGCACTGAAACAACACAAGAGGAGCTATTTCAAATTCATACTGCACAGATCACACTTCAGATCCCACCCCACTCTTCCCAGTTATGATATTCACCTTCCCAAACAGTTTCACAGCACACGTCTTTGATAATCACAGCCTTCAAACACTTGTTCCTGTTATGTCTACAAACATCTACATATTCAAAACAGTCTCTGAAGCACATGCTAAACATCTGTTTCAACCATCTTTCTCTTTAGAGTTTGAGCTGTTTCCTGGAAAACTGCCATCCTAATGGCCAGTTCCTCAGTTAGCAAACTGGAGAATTCATTTTGTATTTATTGATTATCCCCTAATGAAGAGTCATAAAGGTGCTGGAAAATCCTGACCAGACACTTCTTAATTAGTATCAAAGCACATAAAATCTCAAATCAAACTGAGCTCTTTGTCCAAAGTCTCAGTCACTGGAAAAGAAAGAGATGACATCATTTTCTGCTTATACAGAAGTCTGTACATTTATATTAAAAAAATAAAACCTAAGGAAATTAATAAAACTATATAAATTACTCATTTCCTTCCAGTTTCTAAGATGCCAAATAGGTCTTCCAGAATGAAATCACACTTTACTGAACTAAGTATTCTTCCTGAGGGGACCGGCTACATCTATCAGATATAGAACTTACTGTAAATTAAAAACAAAACAAAACAATATAGCATTTGCCTTCTGGAGAATATGCAGATTTGTATTACATATAAGACACATTACAAAGCATCCAAAGGATTTAAAATTACCTCTAATGGATCTGTCTTTTCATCACCATGTTTATAAGACAAACTTCAGTGTTCCCTCAGCCTATGCCGGGCTGGTATATTTTCTGATGGTACTCTTGAGAAGACGGAAAGATGAGCAAAAGCGCCCTTAAATGTCAAGGTTTTTTTGCTCAAAACAAGCCTCAAGAACATTCAGAATAACTGATCTCTCCTTGCAAGTCTTTCAGATTAAACCATCCTGAAAATTAATTCCTTGTCTTCCATAACATTTAAGTTCTCAATTAAATAACTGAGAAAATAGCAGGAAGGAAAAAAGCTAACAGAAGGAGGCAAAAGCCCATCCTCACATGGCAACAACTTCTGCTATACTCTCTGCTTGTTGAATCCAGAGTGGGAAAGTGGCTTGAATTCTTCAGCACAGCATAAAATGCACACAAGGGAATAAAGACGCCATGACAGAACAAAAGCTCATCTTGTTAGTATCTATAAACATCCCCATTAAATTTAGATCTTCTCATGACAATCTGCAGTTTCTAATGTAATTATTATCACACGTGTAAGAAAATGCCATGAACAAATCCAAAACCTCAGTCACCCATTTGCCTAAAATCTAGCACTCTAACACCAAATGTTTCCTCCGCAAAAATTCAGGACTGTATTCATAGGGTCAGTTCAGTATTCAGCAGACTCCACAACACTAACTTCAACCATATGAAGCTTCCAGCTCCCTTATCACAATGATAAACAAATATATTCCACCCCAAAGAGCAGTTCTACATAGTTTTGCAAAAATAGTAAATGAAATAGGACAAGCTTATAAAGGACAAATCAACCGTGCTAAGGCAAAGAATGCAAGAAGGTAGAATAGCATGAACCTATGGGCCTTACTGGACATATGAATTTGGCTTCTTTGCTGCAATCTATTACTCTTCTCCGTTCTTCAATCTGCATGGTTTTTGGTAGTCTTAAAATTACACTGTAGAAAATATCTTTGCTAAGCCAGATAATTTCACCATATCTTCCACAGAGTACTGTGTTCCCAGTAGATAAGATAAGATCACCACATTTTCCAAAAAAATGAGCTCCAAAATGGTAACAGAGAAAAGGGCAATACAACAGGAGGGCCAGCTAACCACAGAGTTGCTTGGCCAGGGTCACCAGCCTCTAAAAAATGAAGCCACATACATAGAAACCTCTGCTTACCCCTTGCTCAGATTCCAGCAGCTCTGTTTTAACTCTGACTGCCGGCATCCCATCCAGCATTAACATTCTGTTTTCAAAGGCGCTGACGTCCTAGAGCAAAAAAAGACAAGAGTAATTAAAAAAAACATGAAAAACATTTGACAAAAGTTGTAATTCTATAATAGTATAGAAGTAAGTTTCTTCTAACTGAAGTTCATAAACATGTAATAATAATCACAGAATCACAAAATCACAGAAACACCAAGGTTGGAAAAGACCTACAAGATCATCACCAATAGTTCTCACTAAACCATGTCCCTCAACACAAAATCCAACCGTTCCTTGAACACCTCCAGGGTTGGTGACTCCACCACCTCCCTGGGCAGCCCATTCCAATGCCTGACCACTCTTTCAGAAAAGTAGTCTTTCCTACTGTTCAGCCTGAATCTCCCCTGGAGCAGCTTGAAGCCATTCCATCTAGTCCTATCACCAGTTACACGAGAGAAGAGGCCGACCCCCAGCTCACTACAACCTCCCTTCAGGTAGTTATAGAGAGCAATAAGGTCTCCCCTGAGCCTCCTCTTCTCCAGACTGAACAATCCCAGCTCCCTCAGCCACTCCTCATAAGGCCTGTGCTCCAGACCCCTCACCAGCTTTGTCGCCCTTCTTTGAACACACTCCAGGGCCTCAATGTCTTTCTTGCAGCGAGGGGCCCAAAACTGGACACAGTACTCAAGGTGAGGCCTCACCAGAGCTGAGTACAGGGGGACAATTACTTCCCTGTTCCTGCTGGCAACACCATTCCTGATGCAAGCCAAGACGCCATTGGCCTTCTTGGCCACCTGGGCACGCTGCTGGCTCATGTTCAGTCGAGCATCAGTCAATACCCCCAGGTCCATGTCCAGGTCCATGTTAATAACGTGTAATAATAATGTTAATAACATGTAATAATAATGTTAAACCACTTTTTTAGTAACAGACAATACGTGCTGAGAACTTCTGTTAGAAGTGAGAGCTGCAAAGCTGAAATTGTCTGAATCTCATTTATGAATGCCCCATTCCACTGTTTCCTGAGTTTTCTTATGAACTATGCAGAACAACTTCCTGTGCCTTCAGTTCAGACCCACCCCAAGCTGAGTTAATTTTCTAATGCAGCCAGGGTTCAAGGCTGGTACTTGAAAGCGAGTCCCTTCAGCTGCCTTTTGGATTGGGCAAGATGCTGAGAGTAAAGATATTTTATCACTCTAATGACAATATGACCTGATGAATCAACGCACTTTGGTCAGTTGTATGGGAATGTGAAAGCCTCACAGCTATTTATCAAATATGAAACTATGACACATATACAAGCTTTTAAGTGACTCTTTCACAGCTACTTACTTATTTGTGGCCCCCTCTGGAAAGCAGTACTTGAGAATGGAAACTCACTTTCACTCTGTTACCTCACAGACCTCAATAAATGCACTGCAATGGAAAAAAACTCTTTTTGCGTGTTTCACTGGCAGCAGATCTGCTCAGCACTGTCTGGTGCCATTATCCATAAGGAGTTCCTGTGTTCATTGCCCTGTTTCTTATCATGACTCCTTCAGAAGAATTTTTAAGAAAAATGGTATGCCCTAATGCTTCCTAAAAGCTTCTGAAATACGCTTACTTTTCAGCAATAAGTTCTGTACCCACTGATTATTATTCAGTGTTTAAGGTGCAGGGTGGGAAAAGCAAGGGGAGGAGTATGATGCCAGAGAATAGCTCTCGGAAATCACTCTAGGCTGTACATCCTTCTTCCGAGCAAGGGCTGCTGCACTGTGTTTACTTATCAGAACCGAATCTCATGCCTTTGGGCATTACAGTGCCTCAGTGGCTTGGATGTGTTTTGGGGTGGAGCAGCAGCAGGAGCGAGGCTGGCATTCTGGGCTCTCCCAGCACCTGTTCTGCAAGCAGGGAAGTCCCCCTACATTCCTGATTTATAAGCAGCATAGTTGAGTTTTACAGAAAGATCAGGAATATACCATAATAAAGGACCCCTTAGGCTGTTTAGCTTGTAGACAAAGAAGGATGAGCAGATATTGCTTTGTGTCCCTGAGGAGGTCTTACCCAAATGAAAAAAAGGGACGTGGCTGCTTGCTGCAGAAGGCACAAGCAGGAGGAGGGGGGAAGACAAAGCACAATTGAGGAAAGGCATGTTTAATGAACTGTTAGAATCTGATTAGAGACTAATGTCCCTTTTAGTGCTTTGTACCAATTTATAGCTGATATACTTGAACCATTTTTTCCCACTGGCTGTGATAAACTCATTAGCTCTAAAAATGCAAGCTAACCAGAGCCTTTGAAGTTCAAAACTGATAAATCATGAAAACCCGACTAGTTCATGTACCATTTAACACATTCACATTTAACTAAATTTTCCCAGCACCTGTTTCCCTTTTGTTGTCTGAAATCGTATTTCTTAAAAGCAATGCTATGCCTTTTGAGCATTGGTCTGAAGAATGAATACAGTGAACAGTGCTGGCTTTTGGGTCATTCATAATTCAAGAGTAGCAACAATCACAGGAGTAGATTCTTTACAAACTATTTGATCCTTCTGCATTTGTAACTGAAAAGACATTGTGTGACATATCCGGGCAGACCTGAGCAGATCTAATCTGTGCTTTACACACACAGATGAAATATTTAGCCCAGCATTCACTCAGAGAGCTGATCTTTCCGAACTCCGCTCTCCTGCTGCAACAAGGCTTTGCTCTACAGTATCCTCAAGGCCATTCTGCAAATACAATATAATTGCTGAGGCTTGTGTATGGTGGGCAGCCATCTAAGGAGAACGGACTCAAGTGAGACGGGTGGTGAGGTGAATTCAGCTTCCCTTGGAACCCCTTGGTCAGCTGGGCCAGATGGAGCGTTTACACCTGAGCGAGGCCAGACTGCTCCAGTGCCCCATGATAATTTATTACACTCAGGAGACCCACCAACCGGGATTGCCGATATGATGTATTAAGTCAAAACGTTTTTCACACCACAGTTCCCTCCTGGTTCACTAAACCCTACTGTGGCAGCTAAATTGCAGCCCTCTCACATGTGAAGGTGATACGAACTCTTGTGCCAGCCTCTGATGCGTACCCTCCCACCTTCCAGCCCTGCCCACCTGCTGGACCCCACTCACCCCCCCAGCCACAACACAGCAAATGCATAGTCTAAACCAGGCATATCACCAAGCCTAGCTCTGCATGACTTTATGGAAACATCTGCTCTCTTGGATCAATAAACTAACTGACCCTAAAGACAGAAACCTCTGTTTCTCACTGCTATCTATTTCAGCCTTTCACTGATCAGGTTTGGACATTTACTGTCTTGAAAAACGAACATAAAACACCAAGTATGTGCAATTACAGTTATTACAGCACAATGACTACTATTACAGTAACTGTCACAGGAATCAAATGCATTCTTTAAGGTTTACATCTTCTGAGAAGACGTCTAGTAAGAAGTCACTGTTTTTGAGAAATGCAGCATCAGTCAGTGGAAGAACAGTTCCAAACTCAACTTTAGATTTACAATAAACAAGTTTCAGTCTTAATGAGAGCATGCTCAATGAGCTAAGAGAAGAAGACAGCCCCTAAAAGCCTTCCTATCTCAAAGCTATGGCTGATAATTTGTCTTGCTTCTTCATCTTTTAGTCGTTTTCACACAAGTTTTCTGCACATGCAGGAATTTCAGAATTCATCATTAGATTCTCATCGCATGTTTCTCAAATTTTGAGTTATTTTTGCAGGACTCCCAAATTCATTGTTTGTTTATTTGTTTGTTTGTTTTAAAGACAGATGACTTAAATGTATTGCAGAACTGAAAAACAGCCCACATCCCTTCTACGCTCTGGCAATTAGATGACTGCTATTTTTTTCTGAAAATGAATACCTGAATTCATATTATTCTCAGTACTTACATTACTATACTGAAAATATAGTATCCATTAATCAGAGCAATAGACAACTCAGGACAAAATATCTGAAGTTATCCATTCAAGGTAAAGCTTCTGAAAATATAATTGAACATTTTAATGATATAACAATATGATTTTGAAAGTTTGAAATGCTTTTTCTTCTCTGGTTCAAGGGAAACTAGAATGAAAGATCATACACTACTACCACCTCGAAGGGGAGAAGGAGAAACCTTCTTGAATTCTCACAGGAAGAAAGCATGAAACTGCCTTTTATCTTAATCTCCTATGCTTGCTTAAGACCTTCATTTCCAAAGAAGTAATTTATACACCAATACAATGAGATGTTAGTTGTAGAAATGATGCTTTTTTTTAGGGTAAAGCACACAAATTAACATTACCACAGTACGTACACTAGCAGTTCATTCCAATAAGCGAAGGAAACAACCATCCAATAGAAAATAAAAGAAAATTTATGTGGCTAGAAGGTAATCACTCAACTGGGAATTCTGCCAGGGAATCAGGGTTAACAGTCCATGTCTTGCCATAGGATCTTCATCATATGTAATTATGTATATTGCCGTGTGGAATGCTCAGAATGAAAGCAGAAACTCTGGTAGTCCTGCATTTTACTCTGAACTTGAATTTCATGTCAAATGCACCAGAAAAGAAAAGGATCATTTGCATTTATTGATGCTTCAAGGAAAAAGAAAAAAAAAAAAACACATAATAATAAATGGTTGAACATTAAATTTTCATACTATTTTCAAGTGAAACCGGGTGTGGTTTATCTCATTCCACTCCAATTCAAAGTTAATTTCCATAAGTGAGAACAGAACGTAGAGTTTGCAGAAGCCTGTGTGAACAACATGGACAAAAGTGCTCTGTTTTACATCTTATTTAAATGACAATTTTAAATAGAACAGCAAAGGATGTCTGTGAATACCCCAGGACATCAGCTCAGCATGGGACTGTAAAGAATAATTAACTATGGCTAACCCTGCTAGCCTCATAAAGAGCTGGGGGTGAACCCAAATGTAGTTCAATAAAATTCCAAACATTACATCATACCAGAGGAGGCTGTAAGGCTTCATACAGATGTACATATCACGCACACTTATCTACATGATATCCAGTGATCATATAGTGTCATGGTTTTATGATTTTTGGTTATTGGTATTCC